AAAATAAAATCACAATGGCTTGTTTACGAACATGTACCAAAACAAGGCATGGACATTGACGTGATCTTGTCTCTGGCCATGTTGATCGGCCATGCGTTTAATTAATCGTTCGAGAAAGACGTGTTTAGTTTTAGTTTTCTTAATTTATGGTTAAATCGTTTCGGAAAGGAGACTGAATGATTTTAGCAATTGTAGTTATTTTTAGCACGGAAAATGTTGTTTATTTTGATGGAGAAGAAGTCACAACTAACCATTAACCCAAGTGAACTAGAAGTGGAAGTGAAATACATAATCTGAAATCCTGTATTATAACTATCCTGCTAAAAATATTGAAATCTCTTATCTAACAGTGACACAAGTATACTAGTACTTGACACGTGTATCCCCAAGGGTTTAAAGGTCCATAAATAAACACTGCTCTACACTAAATCAACAAGCAAATGAGATAATAGTTGGCAAGCTTTCAAATTGTGCAAAAAGTCTTTTAGTGTTGTAATTTTAAATTCTCTAAGCTAGATGTGGAGTCAATATAAGCACCCATTAATACACAGTCAGCTGGTATGTGTATTGCTGTACACTAAAGGTAAGGGAGAAGTTTTGCAACATTTCTGGGTTTCACAAAATCAAAAGCAAAAACACTGATGTATTATAGAGGTACTCTTCTGATAAATTCATTGAACAAATTCGCGTGAACTCGTGTTCTTCATTCTTTTTTTGATAAACAGTGATTAGTAGTGAACAGCTACGCTGAATCTCATTTGCATAGATCTAACATACCCGGTACTTAATACTTTATCTGAAACCTATGTGCAGCCATTGTTGGCGTAAAACCAGATCTAAAGCATGTGTTGCCCACTTACTTCAAAATTGGTGGAAGCATTAACTATTATAGGTAGTTGATTCACACCACTTTGATTTGTAAATTTGACTCAAATTCTATTTTAAACACATTTCTCATAAATGCTTTGAGCAGTTCACTTAATTCATTAATATACAGTGTTCATAGTTAATGTAATAAGCTTTTAAACTGCTAACACAATGTAGCATGTATACTTCTAGCACACATACCGTATTTTTCCCATGTACATAGTACATGCTTAACATAACCATTTCACATAGATAGCTTTGTGAGCTAACAGAAATTGTATGTTCAGGCTGACATGCTTAATAAATTGGCGGGAATATCAAATTTCAATAAATATGGATGTTTATGTGATATCTGTGTGAAAATATTGTTTGAATTGCTGTATCAACAATGTATGTTCTCTAAAAGTGTGTGTACAAAGCTACTTGAATACACACTGATCATGTTGGTAGGTAATTTAGTCAACTTTTGTCAATGAGAATTATACACCATACAGACACCATTGTAATCTAGAACTGTGATAATATGTTGATCTGTCATAAATGAATTTAACAGAAACAGAAACAGATGTATGGGTTCATGGCTATTCAACCACCATGTGCCTGGCCATGTCTATAGACCACAACCATGTACGGGTTCATGGCTATTCCGCAACCATGTGCCTGGCCATGTCT